GGCCCAGGGCAAAGGCCCAAGGCATCCTCCACCATGGCCCAGGCCTGGAGAACAGGGGGCCACTTACCTCATCATCTGACTGCAGGTACATGTGTGCAAACTCCAGCAGCTCCTGCAGCTCAGCCGTCTGGTTGTGGTAAAGCATGGCTTCCTGGGAAGAGCAGGGGCGGGAGAGGGTGAGCCAGATCCTGCTGCCAGTGCAGGGTGGGCAAGTGGTAGGGGCAGCCAGGACCCCTAGAATCTGGGTTCCCTTTCCCTTTTCCAGCTCAAGGAGCAGGGAACAGGTTTCAGCTCACATGCTGATCAGATCATCATAGCTGCTCAGAGTGCTGGGTTAAGGATTCTGAGGGCTCAGTGAGTAAGAGTGCCTCAATCGATTAGCAATGTCTGCCACTGACAAGGAAGGTGGAAGTGGCACCATGGCCCCCATATTTGCCAGCCTTGCTCTAGATTCCAGGGGGTTTCCTCAGTTGGTCCAGTTAAGGGTCCCCTGGGGAAGAAGTACAAACGTCAGAGGTGAGAGAAGTAAGAGTGGGGAGGATAGTGGCAGGAGCGGACACTTTTTGGGTACCTTCCACATCCCAGGCACTGAGCTGGCAAGGTAGTTAGTACAAACCCCACTCTGCAGATGGGGCAACAGATTCAGAGAAGGTCAATGTCATTTCTAGGACCACACAGCTGGTGGAGCTGGGGTTTGGACCCAGGACTGACTCCATCCACAACCCATGCTCTTTCCTCTTCCCATCCAGCCTGCCAAGGAAGCAGGGTCTGACCGAGCATTTTTAATCAAGTCGTACGCCCTGTGAGTGCCTCGGAAGGTGGTGCCCACCTCCCGGGGCTGGAAATCCTCCTCCTCCAGCCCCCAGCGAGCCCGGTGGAAGCGGTAATACACCAAGTTCTGCTGCATGATGTTGTCTTCAGGGTCGAAGAGCATGTAGCTGGCAGCGCTGCGGGCGGCCTGGTGCACGTCATTCACTGCAGGCAGGGCGGGACAGGGATGAGGAGTATCCCAGTCACTTCCTCACATTCAGGGACAACTTCACCAAGCTCACCCCAACCCACCTCTCAGTTCAGTCCTGTACTCCTCACCCCACCCAATAATAATGCAAACTAACGTTTACTGGGCACTTGCCGTGTGCCAGGCCCTGTGTAACTCATTTAAAATTCATTGTTATTGTCATCCCCATTTTACAGACAAGAAGCCTGAGGCCCAGAGAGGTTAGGTAACCTGCTCAAGCTCATACAGCTGGCGAATGATGGCAGTGGAGAATTAGAACCTGGCAGCCCAACTCTCAAGCTCTCTGCCATCTGATCCCATGAAGAGTCTCCCTGGCCCCTTGGTCCTCAGCCCCTGCACTCCAACTCCAGCCTCTGTCTGAATTTTGGCCTTTCCACATTGCAGGAACCTTGGAGGTTGTCTATCCCAGCTCTCAGTCGATGCCAGATCTCCCTCCAGTGAGGAGATCCACAGTCTTGGCCTCAAGTCAAGGTGTTTTTTTTTTATTAGCCATGTGATCTGGGGCCAGCCCCTTGCCGTTTATGAGCCTCAGTTTCCTTATCTGAAAAATGAGTCCATTTTTCCTAACGCCAGCTGCATAGGGTTGGTAAGAGAATCAAGTGAGATAAAAAGACATGGCAGGGCTCTGTAAGCTTTGTAAGCTGCCTAGTGCTGTGTCTTCTAGCTCTCTCCCGAGGCTGCTCTCTGTCCCCACCCAGAAGCCTCTCACCTGCTCCAGGTCCCCAGGGTTGTTTTTCAATATCCGTTCATCTCAATCTTCTTTCCCATCACCCAGATTCCTCAATTCTGAGGGATAGCGCCCATAACTCTGCGAGGACCCCACTACAGTCCTCTCCCTCACCCCTTCCTCTCTTGTCCACGCCCACCCAGGATGCTCACATTTATAGTAGGCAAACTGCAGGTAGTGGTACATGGTGGCCACGAACTTTTCCACGAAGTAGCCACCCACGTTGGGGGTCAGGTTGGCCTCACAGTCCACCTTACACTGCAAGGATTCTGCAAAGAGATCTGGGGGTCGGAGGCAGCAGTGAGAAGCTGGTATGTTTAAAAACTCAATCCCATTGATGGAGATAACTTCAGATACCAGCTTTGCCAACTAAACTTCAGTTTCCTTGTCCAGAAAATGAGTTGTTACAATGCAATGACATAATATGTATAAAGTGCTCGACATACAATAAGTGATACTGAGGATGCATACTGTGGGCTGGTCCCATCTCCTGGGCTGACTTGCCATCCCTGGCTCGGCTCCACCATAAAGCCAGAGGGAGTCAGGGTGGGGCCTCCGGGAGAGTGGCAGGGGGAGTTTAAGGCTAGATAGAGAAGCTGAGGACAGGTCTTCTTGAAGGACCCCAGGGTTAGGGATCCTGAGACTAGATGTGGTTTCTGGCCACAATGAACAGGCTGCTTTCTGCACACCTGCCGGGCTGTGTTCCACCTCAGCACCTTTGTACTTGCATTGCCCTCTGCCCTCTGCCTGAAAGGCCCGCGAGTCTACCCTTACCAGACTCTTTTGGAATGTCACTAACTCTTAGTGTTGATGCATCTTGGACACTCCCTACTGTAGCCCTCTGCACCCAGTGTCAGGGTGGCTACACCTGTCTCTATTAGCAGACAGGGTTCTGGGAAGCAGAGCCCACTTGGCCCCCCACTTAGTTTCTACTGGGGGTCCTGAGACTCTATGAGTGCTGAGTGCTTCAGCCTCTGGAGAGCCCCAAAGTCAGGGGTTTGGGACAGGGATACCTGCGATGGCTGGGTAGAAGTCCTTGAAGTCCACCTGCTCCTGGGCCCCCTCGCAGCCGGCCAGACACCGGGCAAAGGCCGCTAGGTACTCAGCCAGGGCCCGCTCCATGTCCTCGGTGCTGCTGCGGAAATCCCCGCTGTTGTAGAGTTTCACCGCCCGGAGAAACACGGCCTAGGGAAAACAGTGGCAGCGGGGGTCAGGGGGACCTCCAATCCCTCCTCTCTTCTGCAAGTGGGAGTCAGGGAGCAGAGTCAGGGCCGGCCCCACTCCCCTGCCCCTCCACCCCACCTCGTAGGGCTGGGCCTCCAGGTCCGTGAGGGGATCCTCTGCGGCATCCAGCAGCCCCCGGTAATAGTTGAGATACTTGGCGGTTAGCTCGTGCTTCGGATTCCGCTGGAGGAAGGTGTAGGCCGCGGACACCGCCTTCTCCAGCCGGTTAGCCTGAGGGGACCAGGGGGTCAGTAAGGCAGGAGCCCGCAGCCCTGAGTGCACAGGGGACTTCGTAGCTCCGGGTGAGCGCAATGCTTCTCCCGCCCCGTCGGAACACCAGACGCCGAGCAGCCCGAGCAGAGCGGCGCCCGAGGGCGGACGCTGGGGCAGGCGGAGCGCCCACCTTGAACAGCGCGTAGTGCAGATACTGGTAAGGCATGCGGCTCTGGAAGTCGCGCAGCAGCTGCCGCGGCGGGTAGGGCACCTGGAAGGCGGGCAGCGCCCGTTTGCAGCGCCGCAGGCAGGCGGCGCGCTCCAGGACGTGGCCGAAGAGCTGCAGCTCCCGGGCCCACTCGTCGCCACGTCTGCCGTCGGGGCCGGGATCGGGATGCGAGGCCCCGGGCTGCGCCGGGCCGCTGCAGTTGGCGTGGCAGAAGGCCTCGCTGTCCCGCAGCAGCCGGTGCAGCCGCAGCGCCGCCTCCAGGTAACGCGCGCTCTCGCGCCAGCTCTCGCCCTCGTACTGCTCCAGCGCGTGGCCGTAGGCCGCGGCCAGCGGCATCAAGTCCTCCGGCGGAAAGCCCCGGAAGCTGTACTTCTCGTACTGCGCCCCGGCGCTGCCCAGCAACAGCCACAGCAGCCCGCACGTCGCCCACCCCATGCCCCCGCCGCGCCGCCGGCTCTCGGAGCCAAGAAGGCAGCCAGCAGGACTGGAGGGCGCAGGGCCGCGCCGGTGCGCCTGCTGGGTCTTAGCGCCGGCACTGAAGGGAGGTGGCGGGGCGGGGGGCGGGGAATTGCCTAGGTCTGGTCCCCAGAGGGGCGGAGGGCTGCCTGCCGCCTTTTCTTGAGAGGGTCCACTGGTGTCTTGAGTCCGATCCCCTGCCCAGGCCTTGGGGATCTTGTGACCCCATGACAGATGATAAGTGGGTGGATGGGCGGGGAGAACGTTTCACGCCAGGGATGGAGAGCCCAGAAAGCTCCTCCCTACACATAGACAGCCCCCCACCCCCATCTTAAGATCTAGAAATTGTGGGAGCTGCCACGTCCCCCTACTCGGCCCAAGCCCAGGAACCTGGTCTTAGCGCCCATTCTGCACGCTCCCCATCCGAGGCCCTGACGAGATCACACGGAGTGTCCCCGCGGCCCACGTCGGGGAGACTCACACCTCGTTCACCCCGCACACCCTCCCCTATCACAGTGTCTCCATCCCCAGGTCACAAAGTCCTCGCTGACCAGCTTTTAAAAGGGAGGCAAAGCTGCTCTTCCCTGAAGAAGCCTTCTCTTGGAGGACTGTAGGGGTGGGGAAAGCACTGAGATATCCCTCCGATTCTGGGGCCTCGCCGTCCGCCTGGAGAGTCCTAGATTTGGGGGTGCCAGCAAAGGAAGCAAGGGATGCCTCAGCCCGGCTTTAGGACCCGGGAGTTCCGGAAAAAGACGCTGAAAGTTTTTTTTTTTTTTTTGTTCTTTTTTCTTTTTTCGGGTGTGAGCTCAGACTTTTTGTCTTTCCCGAACCTCTCTCCCTCGCCGGGCCCCCGGTCTCCCGGCCCCGGGTAGGGGTGGCGGTGGGGGACCCGGAGCGCTTGGTGGTGCGTTTCTCGGTCTCTAACACATTCAGCCTTGCCCCCTCCTCCTACCCACCCCCCACCCCCACCCCTTCACCGTCTGGCCAGCTCAGTGTCCCCAGCCCCCATTCCACGTGGACCAGCCAGGGCGGGGGTGGGAGGGAGGACAGGAAGCGGGGGAGCTAGCTCTGGGAAGAAGGGAAAAGGAGGTTGGCCGCGGCGGCTCCCTCGCTCGTCCTCACTGCCGGCGGTCCCAGCTCCAGGCACCATGCTCCCCGCGGGGCCCCCCAGCCACACCTTCCGCTGGCTCCCCCTGCTGCAGTTGCTGCTGCTTCTGGTGCAAGCCGTGGGGAGGGGGCTGGGCCGTGCCAGCCCGGCCGGGGGCCCCCTGGAAGATGTGGTCATCGAGAGGTACCACATCCCCAAAGCCTGTCCCCGGGAGGTGCAGATGGGGGACTTTGTGCGGTACCACTACAACGGCACTTTCGAGGATGGCAAGAAGTTTGACTCGAGGTAATGGTTGGGCACCCCCCGACTCGCCACCCCCCTTCCCTGAGCCCCCACCAGTCTCTCTTCGGTCCTGGGGTCCTCTATTGCCCCTTTTAAGCTGTGCATCCAGGCACTGACTCCATGATCCCCTAACACCAAACACAGCATCCCTGGGGGCTCCCAGACACCCATCTCCCCAAAGACAACCCCCTGCCCCCAGTTACAAACCTTCACCTCTCAGAGGACTCTGATTTCTTTCACACAAGCTCCTCACTTCCCAAAGGACTTGATAATTAAGGCGAACTGCTTTGTTCACTTACCGTTGCTTTATTTAAAGGCATGGTGGAGGTCGGGGGTTCTGTCTACAGTGTTGGAGGGAAGAGGATGGTGCCTGCTGCATGGGAATCCTCCTGTGGTCTCAGCCTGGGACTCCCTGTCTTCCTGCTACTCTGACTCCCTTTCTGGTTCCTGCCCTGTTTTCAGTACCTTTGCGACAGGAGAAGAGGGAGAACTTTGGAGGGGTGGAGGTCATCAGGAGCCGGTGGGAGTAAAGGTGGGGGGCATTATAATAAGACAGTAGGATGGATCTGGAGGGTGGGGCGCAGCTGGGTGCAGGAGCTCGTCTGTCTACGTGTCACATGAGTGACATGCCACCCTGGGCTCTTTGGACGGTTTTCATGCCTCCTTCTTCAGGTCTTGCAGGCCGTCTGCCCTTCCCGACCCCTCCCTCCCTCTCTCCCTCCATCTTAGCTCTACCAGGCCAGAGCTGCCACCGCCCATCTTGCTAACTCTGGGGTTTGATAGACCAGTCTCTGGTCTGCTCCAGGCCTCTGGTCCCCAGAGGCCGATGCAGGCAGGACAGAGCTGTGCACCAGCCCCAGGGGTAAACTTTGGGTCCCTGTCACACACACAAACCCCATATCACACCCAAAGACGTCAGTACCTCTTAGACCGTTCCACACAACGCGGCTCAGCCCACGGCAAATAAATTAGTAGACATGACTTTGGAGGCAAGCAGCATATTGGGAAAGAACATGAACTCCAAAAGGCCAAGACCCTGGGTTCAGACCCACTCTGTGTATGATCGTGGACAAGTATTTTACCCCTTTAAGCTTCACTTTCTCCTCATCTGAAAAATGGAGATAAAAACAGTACCTACTTCCTAAGGCTGATGTTAGGACTCACACAAAATGACGAATGTAATCACCCCAAAGTGAAAAACTACCCAAATGCCCATTAACACTTGGATGGATAAATAAATTGAATTTTATACAGCAATGAGAATGAAAAGTCTACTATTAAATGTGACAACTTAAATGAATCCCACAAACATAATATTGAGTGAAAGAAGCCAGAAACCAGAGTATATACTGTATGATTTCATTTAAAAACAGGCAAAATAAGTTGTAGTGATAGAAGTTGGGATAGTGCTTACTCTTGGGAGGAGGTATCGGGTGGAAGAGGCTTCTGGGATGCTGGCAATGTTCTGTTTGTTATGCTGGTTGCAATGCTGTGTCCAGTTTGTGAAAATTCAGTGAGCTTGTATGTTCACTTTTCTGTATGCATGTATAAAAATATTTTTAATAATAATTTAAAAAAAGATGATGACTAAAGTAAGCTTCACGCAGCACCTGGCAGTCCACGGGTTCAATGTGCATTAGTCTTGACTCTGGTGGAACCTTATGCCCTGATGATTTTTAACTCTTAGAAACTGCGCAGTGCTCACAACAGCACTGTGAAGGAAGCGGGTCAGACATAAAAGCAGCTCAATGATACAGGTATAGTGAACTCTAGGCAATAGCCAAGGATCCAGTGGTTAAACCCTTGGTGGCTAACTGAAAAGTTGGCGCTTCGAACCCACCAGCCACTCCGTGGGAGAAAGAAGTGGCAATCTCCTTTCGTAAAGATTACAGCCTTGGAAACCCTATGGGGTGGTCCTGCTCTGTCCTGTAGGGTCACTCTGAGTCAGAGTCAACTCAATGGCAGTGGGTTTGGTTTTTTGGTAGGCAGCAGCCAGGAGTATAGCCAGAGCCCTTGACCTCTAGGAGTGGGGTCAGTTGGGAGTTAGGGGATGATCCTGGTGGGACTCTGGGAGCCTGGCTGGGCACAGGCTCATGCAGTGTATGAGCCTGGAAAACTTTCTTAACCCATGATCCCCTTGGATCAAAATAAAAATCTCCCACCCTTCCTTAACTTCTGAAAATTCAAAATTTAAAATGTTTAACTCAAAACAAAAGCTATGGCAATTTTAGAATGGGCTATTTAAAAAAATTAAAAGCAGTCCTATCCCAATTCCAGCCAACACTGCTTCTCTTTCCTTTCCTTGGAGAATCAATGGTGCAGTGGCAAAAGCATGGGCTTTGGAGTTCAGCAGACCACATATTAGCTGTGTGACCTTGAGCAAGTCACTTAGTCTCTCAAGTCTTTATTATTTCTCATAAGAAAAATTAAAACAATAATGCCCACTTTCTGGGAGAGAGGATTAAATAAAACAATGTATGTAAAACGCCAAGCATTTAATCTGGCCTATGGTAAGTGCTCAATAAATGTTCCCCTTCTTCGCCCTGCTGGACTTACCACCCTGTTGCTCTCAGCAAATTAGCAGTGGACAGGCCTGCCTGCCCCCCATCCCAGGGTGGTAAAAGCCCCTGGCCTTCTTGGGGGCTTCCCTTTTGTAACAGCCCATCCTTTTAAGGGGGGCGTGGGGAGGTCATGGCTGACCTGAGAGGCAGGTATGAAGAGGAGGTGAGGAGCATGTGGGTCCACACCTGGTATAGGGAGGAGAGTAGTGCATGTATGTTGTGTGTGCACACCTGTACGTGTATAGACCATGGGCAGAGGAAACCGTGCATCATCTGTGCACACCTTCGGCCACTGTATCTCATCTCTCCCCTCCCTCCAGCTATGACCGAAGCAGCTTGGTGGCCATTGTGGTGGGCGTGGGGCGCCTCATCACCGGCATGGACCGGGGCCTCATGGGCATGTGTGTCAACGAGCGGCGACGTCTCATTGTGCCTCCCCACCTGGGCTACGGCAGCATCGGCGTGGGTGAGCAGGGCTGAGGTGGGGGCACAGAGTGTGGATGGAGGAGACCAGGAGGCAGAATCAGGGACCCCTGGGTCAGCAAACTGGAACTCAGAGAAGGGAGTGACTTACCTAAGGTCACATTGCACAATATGAAGAGTGGCAGGTCTGGGACTAGAGTTTAGGTCTCCTGCTTCTGGGATGGGAGGAAGGGGCATAAGAGGGCTCTGGGTGGTGCAAGTGGTTTGTGATCAACTACTAACCTGACGGTTGGTAGTTCAAACCCAGCCAGCAGCATGGTAGGAGAAAGGCCTGGGGATCTGCTTGTGTAAAGATTACAGCCAAGAAGATTCTATGGAGCATTTCTACTGTTTAACACATGGGGTGGCCATGAGTCAGAATTGACTCGATGGCAACAGGTTTGGTTTTTTTTGAGTAGGATCATCCAAAAATGGCTAAGAAGAAGGGGTACTGGAGGTGGTGGGGAGGGAGGCAAAGCAGGACTCTCAGCCCTCGGCTCCATCCCCACCCTGTCGTGCTGCCTTGTCCTACAGCAGGGCTGATTCCCCCGGATGCCACCCTCTACTTCGACGTGGTGCTGCTGGATGTGTGGAACAAGGAGGACACCGTGCAGGTGAGCACCTTGCTGCGCCCGCCCCACTGCCCCCGCATGGTCCAGGACGGCGACTTTGTCCGCTACCATTACAACGGCACACTGCTGGATGGCACCGCCTTCGACTCCAGGTAAGGGCTGGAGGGGAGCCTGGAGGCTCTGGGGACTGTGACATATGGAGGAGAACTTGGGGCCCATCCTGCCTCTCCCACCCCCAGCAGTATCATCTCTACCTCATTCTTGGCAGCTACGGTAGGGGCGGCACTTATGACACCTACGTTGGTTCTGGTTGGCTGATCAAGGGCATGGATCAGGGGCTGCTGAGCATGTGTCCTGGAGAGAGAAGGAAGATCGTCATCCCTCCTTTCCTGGCCTATGGCGAGAAAGGCTATGGTGAGGGCAGGCAGGGACTGTGGGCGGATTCTCCAGAAGAGGGAGAACCAGGGCTGCCACATACAGTTGCGCACTGCACAAGGGCACCCAGCCAAGGAGGCAAGTAGAGATGAAATCTAGCCCTTGGTGATTGTCTAGCTAAGAAGAGGTGCCTTATTCTGATTTACACAAAGGCTCAGTGTGGGCTGGTAGTGACCCTGAGGAAAACCCAGCTTAGGTCTCACAGGGAGAGCAAGAAATAAGGTCAATGATGCCAGGGAGGGAAAGGGCTCTGGAGAGCAGGGATGGCACATTTTTCATGGCTTCTACACAGTCTTCCTGAGTTGAGAAGAAGCCCTGTTTTGTTCCCTACTTGTATGGTTCAAGCCCTATCCCTTCCCCAGGGACTGTGATCCCTCCAGAGGCCTCCCTGGTCTTCCACGTCCTACTGATCGACGTCCACAACCCAAAGGACACTGTCCAGCTGGAGACACTGGAGCTGCCCCCTGGCTGTGTCCGGAGAGCCATGGATGGGGACTTCATGCGTTATCACTACAACGGCTCACTGATGGATGGCACCCTCTTTGATTCCAGGTCAGGAGGGTCCTGAGGAGGGTGGGAAGGGCTGCAGGGGGAGCCAGGCAGAAGAAGCCAGGGCAGGGAGGGAAACACCAGGAGCTGGCACAAACGGCTAAGCTCTTGACTACTAACTGAAAGAAAGGCTGGCGGTTTGTAACCCACCCAGAGGCACCTCGGGAGAAAGGCCTGGTGATCTACTTCCGAAAGGTCACAGCCATTGAAAACCCTATGGAACACAGTTCTACTCTGCATGCATGGGGTTGCCATGAATCAGAATTGACTCAAGGGCAGCTGGTTTGGTTTTTTGGTTTGAGGTTACCCCGGGCAGCCGCTGTAGGGTGTCTCTGAGCTGCCTGGAAGGGGGAGAGGCCCCTTTGACCCCCCCTCCCTGGCCCGCCCCGCCTTGTATTGCAGCTACTCCCGCAACCACACCTACAATACCTATATCGGACAGGGTTACATCATCTCTGGGATGGACCAGGGGCTGCAGGGTGCCTGCATGGGGGAGCGCCGGAGGATCACCATCCCCCCCCACCTTGCCTACGGGGAGAACGGAACCGGTAGGGTTGTTCCCGCCATCACCACCTCACCTCCCCTCTGAACTGCTCACTGACCTTCCCCCCAGTATATAGCCCAGGCCCCCCAGCACAGTGGGATCCAGCCACTGCTCTGCCCCTCTCTTTCTTAAGAGCATATACATTCTACATCAGCCCACCCACCCAATTCCTGCCACAGACCCCATCCATCTTCTCCAGGGGCAGTCTCATCCTGTCCCCGCCAATTCTCCCCTTCCATATTGGCGAAGGACAGCTGACTTCTGGGTTGGGGGAGGTAGGATGGTTATGGAAGAACAGAAATAGCAGCATAGCCCTAGGAAACAAAGATACCTGGATTGGAGAGCCAGCTGTGCTTGGCGCCTCAGTTTCCTCACTTGTAAAATGGAGCTAATCATATTGATCAGTAGTTACGGGAAGTTTGCAAGAAGAGTGTAAAAGGGCTTTCTAAACTGGCATGCTCCTTGCCCCACCTCTGCCCCCGCCCACAACAAGAGCGTATTAGAAGAATTGACTATGGGAACAAACACCCCACCCCATCCTGGTTTGAAACCTCAGGGCTGGGAAGAGCTTGGAGACTGGGCGGCTAGAGCTCCGAGCTGATCCACTCATGCATTCTGGCCTCAGGAGACAAGATCCCTGGCTCTGCTGTGCTGATCTTCGACGTCCACATCATAGACTTCCACAACCCTGCAGACCCAGTGGAAATCAAGACACTCTCCCGGCCCCCGGAGGCCTGCAACGAGACCTCCAAAGTTGGGGACTTTGTTCGATACCACTACAACTGCTCTCTGCTGGACGGCACCAAGCTCTTCTCCTCGTGGGTCCAGGGCAGGGCCAGGGCTGGGCAGGGGCGTGGGCACGGGCGGGGAGTCCTCCTGGCAGCACCCTCGACCCTTGTTCCCCCTATCAATCCCCAAGTCTCTGGTGAAGCATCCAGACTCTTGCTTTCTCCATTGGCTCCCCATCTAAGCAAGGGAGACAGGAGGCATCAGGAGATGAAATTCTTTAGTCTGCAGGGAGAGGGGAGGTGAAACTATCCTTGGGGGAGAGCTGTTATTTCCACTTTATGGTGGGGAAGCGTGCAGGGAGAGATGAGGCCTCCAGGCCACGCTTTAGGAGCAGTGGCAAGAGGAAGCTGGGAGTCTCATCTCTGCCCCACTAGCCTGGCACCCCTGTGGTGGGGCGGGCACCAGGAGGAGGGACTAGGGAGGTAAGGGCTCATCTTGGCCCTCGGGAGAAAGGAGTGTGAGCTGGCAGAGGCCAGGCTGGTGCTGACCTGGGAATTGCTTTCTCCTCCAGCCATGACTATGGGGCTCCCCAGGAGGTGACCCTGGGGGCCAACAAGGTGATCACAGGCCTGGACACGGGCCTGCAGGGCATGTGCGTGGGAGAGAAGCGGCAGCTCGTGGTGCCCCCGCACCTGGCGCATGGGGAGAGCGGAGGTGAGAGGGCAGATTGGCCTGATTGGCATTCGGTCCACTTTGTCCCTACCTTTCTTGGGCCTTGATAGCTAATGGGAGGAGTCAGGGAACACTTCAGGATGGTTCTGTAAACATCCTATGCCCCACTCTCCAGCCCCCACGAGGGAAAACTGAGTCCTGTGGACCAGGGAGCACATGAGGAAGACTGGGGAGCCAAGTCTAGACTCTGCCTGACTGGGACACCTTCCTTCTGTCTTCTCCCTCCCCCAGCCCGGGGGGTCCCTGGCAGTGCTGTGCTGCTGTTTGAGGTGGAGCTGGTGTCCCGGGAGGAGGGGCTGCCCACAGGCTACCTGTTTGTGTGGCACAATGATCCTCCGGCCAACCTGTTTGAATACATGGATCTCAACAAGGATGGAGAGGTCCCTCTGGAAGAGGTGGGCGAGGAGTTCCGTGCCCACACACGCACCCCCACCAGGAAGCCCATTTGCATGCGCCCTTTAGCAATAATGCAGTGCATGTCCACCATCCTGCGTGCCACCCCCTGCTCCCATGTCGCTGCCCCTCTGTTGAGTCACAGCACCTTAATGTCCTTGTCCTTTTCCTTCTGGCACCTGTGCAGCCCTGGCCTGGGCGCTGACTGTCCCCCATGCCACACCTTCACCCTGGCCCCACTCCTGCCAGCTCAGGACCCCAACACCAGCTCCTCTCCTCCCAGTCCTTACTGGGACAGCCTGAAAAAGAAACACGTCCTCTCTGGACCCCACCTGGGGGCCCTTCCCAAGGTCACAGTTGCTCTGCCATGACCCTCTCTTCCCACCTCCCCTTGCATCTCCCCTCCTCCAGTTTTCCACCTTCATCAAGGCCCAAGTGAATGAGGGCAAAGGACGTCTCATGCCTGGGCAGGACCCTGAGAAAACCATAGGGGACATGTTCCAGAACCAGGACCGTAACCAAGACGGCAAGGTCACCGCTGAGGAACTCAAGCTGAAGTCGGACGAAGACCAGGAGCTGGTCCATGAGGAGCTCTGAAAGGCAGGAGGCCCCGGCCTGGTCTCAAATGCAAAGGCCCACTTCTAGGGGGACAGTGGGCAGTGGGACTGACCTTCAGTCACTCCCCTCTGCAGAGATAAAGTCTGGGAGTCATCGAAAAAGTTGTCAGAGGAGCCAACACTAGTCTTCCCAGTAGCCCTAGATTAAATTCCACGGTGCAGACCTCTATTCCATTTTTCTCCTCCAACCCCAAACTCCTTAAAGATTTTTGGAGTTAGAAAGCCAAGCTGGTGATTAGTGGAGTCTGGGGGTTGGATGGTGCCATTGCTAGCCCCTTACCTACGTCTCCCCCCACCACATCACCAGACACTTAGGAGGCTGAGCTCATCTATTTGTTTATTCCCCTAGACTCCCCCTTTATTTATACCTTTCCTCACTCTCCCCAATGCTCTGCCTCCAGCCCTCACTCCTCAGTTGTGGCAGCTCCTCCAGAGTGTGGATGAGGGCTGGGAAGACTGTCATCCTCCCTCAGCTCTGGCTGGTTCCTAGGGCAACCGTACCTCACCCTGTCCCCTCCCCCATCTCACTGCATCCAGTAGAGGTGAGATGACCTCAGGGTGCTGGAGGTGAGGGCTGGGCTTTGTGTGGCCTTTCATCCCTAACAAAAGCTCCTTTCTCAAAGGGTCCAAGGAAGAGGCAGAAAATGAAGGGGAGGGGTGAGGAACCCCTGCTCAGATGGGTCTTCTCATTGCCATCAAGTCAATTCTGACTCATAGTGACCCTAGAGGACAGAGCAGAACTGCCCCATAGGGTTTCCAAGGCTGCAAATCTTTACAGAAGCAGACTGCCACATCTTTCTCCTGCGGAACAGCTGACGGGTTCAAACCGCCAACCTTCTGGTTTGCAGCTGAGTGCTTAACCACTGTACCACCAGAGCTCCTTCAGATAAGTCTTAGGGCTATAAAATCCTTGGGTTTTATGCTGAGATAAATTTGAAAGAGAGGCTCATTTGGGGCTGAAGGGTGGGAGTCAGATCCTTCTCCTTTGCATCAAATAAAAGATTAACCAAAGGCCTCAGGATGTAGTCTTTTTTGGGGGTGGGGTGGGGAGGCACTTTAGAGCCAAAGATTGGGGAAGAAAGATGAAACAAACCAGGCTGTTTCCAAGCCCTCATCAGCTGGAGGCAGGGTCCCTAGGTCTCAGCCTTCTTCCATGGAGGTTTTCTGCCTGAGGCCTAACCCAGGGGCCTCACTAAGGAAAGAGAGACGAGGTCTGGGGAGGAGTGGTGGGGGTGAGTGTCCCCAGAGGAGAGGTGCCTGTAGGGAGGCATGGAGAGATGATCCTTGTCCCCTAAATTTCCAGTTGAATGGGAAAGACAAGGTCCCTGACCTGAAACACAACATACACAGCTCAAGGATTGAATTAAACCACAAAGTCTGAATTACACCTTTTCACACATATGGTTTTGAATACTAACAATATTCCCACCTTTCCCTGCTCCTGGCCACTGGCCATTACCACCTGCCCAACTCCCTCTTGCCAGAAGGAAAGGTAATTGAGTTGAAATCTCCACAGGGTCTTGGGGGAGGAGTCAGTTCAGCCGTCAGCCTTGCCATCCACCTTCACCTGCCCAGCTGGATTCTGGCCAGTGCAAGGGAGATGACCCAAGCCTTCAACAGACAGGGTGGCCTGTGGATGTGAAGCAGGCGCTTGGGTGGGGAAATGATGGGACTAGATTCACACTGGACTGCCCCCACAAGCACGGATTTCTTGCCCAGGATCCACCGAAACATGAATGCTCCTTTAGCCACTCTTGTGGCCCCAAAGCATCCAGAAAGCTCGTCAGGGTCTGACAGTAGTTACAAACCCAGCCTCAGATAGTGACCGACCCCTCCTCCCAGAAACCTGACAGGACAGCTCTGAACTGCAGTGGAGAAATGCTTGCTGGCTGGTATAGAAGCACCATGAGGCAGAAGAAAAAAACCCGGGCTTTGGTCACAAACACTCCTGTTCATGTCCTGATTCTAGTTCCTAGCTGAGGAGTGTGGGCAAGCTACTCATCCTTTCTGAGTTATCTGCAAACTGAGAACTACACCTACTTGTGAGAAACGCCAGGACTCAGAGTACCCCGAGGGTGCCGACACACAGCAGGCGCTCAATATTGAACACTCCTATTGCCTTCCCTTTCAAACCTGCAGACAAACACAACTTTCTAACAGCCAGAGACCCTCTACAAGAGCACGAGGGGGATGGATTTCTTCGAAAAAAGGCAGGCTAAGAAAATGCCAGGTGAACTGGTTCTACATTTTTCCTTCAAAAGCTGCCCTAGAGAGTCTACAGGACAGAGTCTACACAAACCACGGTCTCATCTACCCTGAGACCAGAAGAACTAGATGGTGCACAGCTACCACTACCAACCATTCCAATCAGGGCCACAACAGATGGACCCCAGTAGAATGGGACAAAAATGGGGAACAGAACTTCAAATTCCTAAAAAACGTTGAACCAAAACTAACCCGAGGTCACTTTGAAGATAAATAACAAATTGGCTCAAAAAATAATGAAAATCACCCTTAAGTACTGTGCTCCTTTGAAAAATCACCTGTATGAGACCAAACAGTCAACAATTACTTTAAAACGAGGCTGAGAATTTAAGGAGGCTTCTCCCTTCAGGTTGCTGATCACAGCCTCCCTTTAAGGTCATCCATTTTAGTGGCCCTGGGCCCACCAAACAGGCAGGGGGACAAAGAGGAGCCAAGGGCACTGGGAAAAGTCCACACCCTAACAGGTTCTCTTGGGAATCCATAAAGATGGGGCTCTGCAGACACAGCTACCTCAACGCAACTGATTTCAGACTGCATTTCAAGCTTAGTGGCTGCCCCAGAATAAAATTAAACCCTTCCAGGTCAAAAACTTTCAGCCCCACCCCAGCCACCCTAATCCCCACAGACACATTCTGGCTGTGCTCAGGTGGTCTCCTGGGCTACTTCGGTGGTTTTCAAACTGTTCTGCAGAGCCCAGAGGCTTCTTGGAGGTTCCTCTGCCTCAAGGGTCAAGAGGTACAGGCTCCGCCCCCACAACACACACACACCCCTCCTGGGTCAGAACAGCTCTTTTCTAATTTTTTTATTTTGATCCGTTTCACATGTTAAGAGTTGTCTGAAGAATAAGTTCCAATGTTTAAAAATTTCGTAAAAAACAAAAATTCCTGGACTAGATGATCCCTCACAGAGGCATATCTACGGAAAATAGCACCCATGGCAAGCACTCAGATTTCGTCCCTGCAGGCCCCCAACGAGCATCCAAGGCGCTCCCTCCCAATCTCAAGATGAGCAGATGCTGACAGCGGTGATGCATCAGCAGAAACACCTTATCCCCTCTTGTCTGGCTGTCTCCATGGGACCTTTTCATATTTGCGGTACCTGGGAATCTCACTCTAAGCCTCGTCTGGTACGCCCTTGGACTTGCGGGCAAGTGCCCCCCCACCCTCTAGGCCCCCACTTCACTATGCCTGTGTCTACCATGCTTGACACTGGGCCATACCAGGTTAATAGAAACTGCACAGTGGAGCGACACGTCCCCCTTCCCTCCCCCTTCAAGTGGCACCCAGGGCACATGCCATACCTGCCATACCTTAGATACAGACACGCCTCTGCAGTAGAGTGCTAACATCCTGTAGGCTCAGGGTTCATTTACAAAGCTTTTGCTGCCCTCCCACCTGGCAGGTTCTCCCCTAAGTCTGGTGAACACAGTGGAAGGTGCTAGGGGAAGGGAGGGAGGAGGGGCATAGGCCCAGCAGCAACAGCCAGACACACAGGCAGGAGCAATGCTTGAGCTGCCTCATGTGAGGTGCCCCTTCCTCCTCATGGCCCGTGGGCCAGCCCCAGCCTGTGCATTCAGGAGCCCTGCATCTCCATCCGGTCCCCCTGGTGCAGGATGTCCTGCAGCAGCCCGTTGACCACATCCAGTGTCTCGTCCTTCTCCAGCACGATGTCATAGGAGTCCACGTAGTGCTCCCGCCGCTCCTCCACCTGTCCAGGTGACAGAAGAAAACAGAAGTCCCAACATGCCCTGCTCCCTCAAGCTGAAGAATCAGGCTAGAAGAAGAGTTTAAGGCTACAAGGACCTGCCTTCTGAAGACAAGAATGGGCAATGGGCACGGACTGCTCCAATTATTCCTTGGGTCGGCATCAAAAGGACAGTAACAAAGATTAAAACCAAAAAATCAGATGTTACCTCTAATCTACCTGGATTGAATTTTCATAAGGCGCAAACATTCTGCTGGATTCAGCACCTCCTGGCTGAGGGTGAGAGCTGACAGCCTTCTAAATTTACCATACTTTGTGCTGCTTTATGGCCATAGTGTTCTCCCCACCAGTCTCTGCTCTGTTCTTGTTATTTTTCTTCCCCGAATTAAAACCCACATCCTGAATACTGACATCTCCCATCTCAACTGCCTCAAAGGTATGATTTAGGGGAACTAGTATGTAGTCCCACCATCTTCTAGGCTATGTGATTTTTGACAAATTAGTTAACCTCCTTGCCTCAGTTTCCTCATGGGTAAAATGGGGATGACAACATTTACTACCTTGAAGGGTTGTTCTAAGGATGAAATGGGTTAATGTATGTGAAGTGCTTAGAACAGGGCCTGACACATAGTGGGCGCTCAGTAAATGCTGGCTACAATTAAGTGTCCAGCATCGCCCTTTCTCTGAACGCCGTCATGGTACATGGTGAGCACACAGCTAGGTAGCTCTTTTTTCTTCCTATGAGATTATGAGCTCCTGGAGAATGTGGCTCGTGTCTTATCTCTGTGTCTCTAATGCTTTATGTAGTGTCTAGCACATAAAAGGTGTTCAATAAGCATTTATTACAGAGATTGAAGAAGAAAGACACAAAGAGAGGAAGCCACGGTCCCCTACCCACCTTGTCATTTAGGAAGCCAATCTTGAGAATGTTCTGCACACCTGGAACCCCATCGGCCATAGTGAGGTCTCCCATGGAGTCTCCAAGCAGGAGGATGTTGGTTTTGCCCTGACACTGCTGGAAGTAACTGGAGTTCTCACACACAGAGCTGTTCTTGTTGTATGTGTGAATGAGCTGGCCCTTGAATCCCTGTAGAAAACCCTGAACAACCAAGAGGGGAGACACAGAGAAGAGCTACAGGGATCCACCTCCGGCCAGCTTTCCAACGTCTCTGTCACACAGGAAAGGGAATTCTGAAAGCCGTAGATAAGGCCAAAACTTCATGACAGTCTAACCTAGAGGGTGGAAAACTATGGCCTGTAGGCCACATTTGCCCTGATTTTGTAAAGTTTTACTAGAACACAGTCGTGCTCATTTGTTTAGTTGTCTATGGCTGCTTTTTTGCGCTACAATGGCTGAGTTGAGTAGTTGTGACACAGACTGTACAGCCCACAAAGCCTAAAATATTTACTATCTGGCCCTTTACAGAAAAATTTTGCCAAACCCTGGCCTAAACTATCAAGGACCATCAAGTATCATCTACTCTGGTGATATATGCTCTTCGGGTTACAAGCATGCTAACCCTCAGCTGGAGGCCATGTCTTAACCTCTGGTCAAAGTGATGAAAATTCTGGCCATTGGTTTAAGGAAAGGAAGTCAGAAGTGGTTGAGCTGGAGTAGCCAACTGGCTCTAGAAATAACAAGTCAAAGTCCAGGCCCTTTAGTACCTAGGATAGCACATAACCCATGACAATGACAAGGGGGCTGGGATGCCCCACAAACTAGGTCCCCCATGGCAGAGTTGGCCATCTTCCAAACACCAAAGACAGGATCCTTCAAAAGTAACCTGCCTTTAGCTGGCAAAAAATAAAATAACTGCCTGAGGGCAAAGAAACCAGCATGTATTCCCTCTCCCTTTCTTCCCTAAGTTAGGATTGATATATTGGGTCAAGCACCCTGGCTTATGGTCTACATCACTCTTCCATTCCCAGCTCAAACAAGACTTGGCTCACGTTTTCATCAAAATCCATGTAGTTAGACACAATATGGACGTTGGGGTGGAAAACTTTCATCTGTCGCATAATTTCTTCCAGGATATCACCGATGCCCGCGGAAAAGATGAAAAGGGGAATGTTGTTATGGTAGAGTGTGTTGAAGAACATCTTGTATCCCTCCCTGAAAAGAGATGAATGAATTCCAAAACAGTATGGTGACAACCAGAAGCACTGTCTCTGCTGCTATTCTTTATTTTTGACTTGGATTACATATTTTTCAATTTAAAAAATTTTTTAAATTGAGATATAAAATAAATAAAGTCGGTAAAGTGCACTAATCTTAACTGTTCATATCAATTAATTTTACATATGTTTACACCCATGTAACCACTACCCCAGATCAAGGTTCCTTCATGTTCCCTCCCAGTAAATACCACCACCCCTATTCCGACTTTCTGTCACCACTGATTAGCTTTGCCTTTCCTTGAACTTCATATAAAGGGGATCATACAGACTGTACTCTTTTGTATCCAGCTTATTTCATTCAGTATGTCTGTGCGATTTACCCATAGTTTGCAATTACCAGCAGTTCATTCTTTGTTACTATCCATTTTCCTCTCCATTTCCTGTTGAGATGGGTTTCAGATTTCAGCTATTATGAACAAAGCTGCTATGAACACCTTGTACATGTTTTATACAGTGTATACACTGTATTTGTACAATGGTTATATGCACTCATTTCCCTTGGGCAGATACCTGGGGCAGGGTTGCTGAGGCAGAGGGTAGGCATCCATCCTGGGGTACCTTCACTGAAGAATGCCCTACTGGCCTCTTTCCCCAGTTAGGATACACAATCCTTGGGGACAGCTCTTGGTGACAACTTCCTCTATGTGCCCCATCCTCCTCCAGTAGAGGGCCCTGCAGGGAGAGCTGCTCAGTGAAGGTCACCGATGATCCAGGGTCCCAGCCTAGCCAACTCCCAGGTCTGGGTAAAGAACATCAGTCACCACGTTGTTATTGCTGTTGTATGTTGCCATCGAGTTGATTCCAACTCACACCAATCCCGTGTGTGCAAAAAAGAACTGCTCATAGGGTTTTCAAGGCTGTGACCTTTCGGAAGAAGATCCCCAGGCCTGTCTTCTGAGGCAACTCTGGGTGGGTTCAAACTGCCAACCTTATGGCTAGTAGTTGAGCACTTAACCATTTGCACCACAGGGAACCCCAAAAGCCTTTCATCATTGTGAAAAATGAGCTGGACTCCATTTCAGATGAAGCCCTGGTCAGATTCACACTACATCTACTACCAGCAGACTGCTTCCTAGGAAGTACCCCAGGGAGGAAAATACTTTAGTCATATTCAGAGAGCAAAAGCAAGATCTTTTCACATCAGTTGCTCATATTGCCATGTCCTTTCTGACTCTCCAAGCAATTTATCCTTGCCACTCCTCCCCAGCCTCATTTGTAAGCAAAACAGTTTCAAACAGCCTGGCAAAAATGCTTCCCAGAGCAAGAAGCTTACCTAAGCATTGCATTGGACTCTCTCACTATCTGGGCGATCTGAAACTTCTGAATTTTCTGCTGACACAGGAGATTATGAGCTTTGGTCCACCTAGAAGCAGATACCCCACAAAGCCCCAAATTCAAATCACTGAAGTAAGCAAAGTGTCCTTTCCTTTTATGGAGCCAAGACCCATCTGCAGATATTGACAACGGAGGCCTCATCCTTTCCACAGAACCATTTCCTAAAGGACTATGGCTGTCCTTAAAAGGAAGAGGTTGGAAAACAACACAACAGAGAGACAAGAGGCAAGTGACTTCACTGCTCAAGTCAAAGCTCTTCTGCACCCCTTCCTCCATGACCCATACCCTCTGGAGAAGTGGGGTTCTGTCCAGTGATGCTGATTTCTATGGGACAGTTATTTCTCCAATGCACTTATTCCCTGAAACCAAGAGGCCTCAAACTTATCTTAAGGATTCCCTGAGGACCCCTGACTTTGGCAGCAGCCATAATTAGCCCTGGGTGTATCTGGGTAGTTTGTTCTAATAGCCAGGCTAATGCCATTCAGTATGCCCTCAATAAGCTAAGGGAAGCCTCTCATCTCATCAAAGCTCAGGAAAAAACCCCACGGCTCCCCTCCCCCCACCCCAATCCATCTTAAAGACCCAGGAGCTTTTCTTCACCACCATTACTTACCATTCTACCATATGAGGTATCTTCTCTCTGGTGGTCCGGTTTGGGTCGATCTCAATTGGGTAATAGTGGTGAAGCAGCACCTTTAGCTGGGACATCCAGATGAAGAGAAAAGCCATTAGTCCATGTCAAATTTTCCCCACCAAAGTCCTACGGTCTAACATTAAAAAAAAATCACTTAGAAGTAACTTCGGGTGAGAAAGTATAAGTTTTCTTGAAGTCTTCATCTGGGCACACATGACTTAAAAGAGTCAAGTTTCTCCTCTCTTATCATCTTCCACCATAACCGGGTCAACAGGTTCACAATGACCCATTTAATAAAGTCCAGGAAGCGATGGGATCTATAGAGCTGGTCATTCCTTTGTACTCACCCTGAGAGACTGAGATCTAAGAGTCAACAATACAAAGAGCTTCTGCTCTCACAGAAGCGGGTTACTAGAATTTTGTTGTTACAAATTAGCTCAGTCATCAGGGCTTAACCAGCAAGAACTGATTTGTTTCCCAAAATGTGGGTCACTGTCTCAGGTGGTAGGCAAGCTGATTTCAGATGGTACATGGATAAACACTTTTTGCTTTAATAGTTTAAGATTCATTTTAATGTATATCAGACCAAGAAAACTAGTCCATCAAACTCATGGTTTCATAAAAAAGTATGCTTTCTTTTGTAAGTTAACTGCATTCAAATTTTTAAAAGCAGGCCAATTTAAATTAAAAAAAAATTAATACTTCTATCCACCTCTTGGAGCCCTGGTGGTGCAGTAGTTGAGTTCTGCTGCTAACCAAAAGGTTGGCAGTTCAAATCTACCTGCGACTCCTTGGAAACCCTATGGGGCAGCTGAGAGCAATGGCTTTTGTGTTTGTTTCGTCTACTTCTTGGAGTTGCAGGGAGGGTTAAATTACATAATAGTTGAAGTCTCTTGTAAACTCCATGTTGTTAGGTGCCATCGAGTCAGTTCCGACTCATGGCGACCCTATAGGACAGAGCAGAACTACCCCACAGAGGTTCCAAGGAGCAGCTGGTGGGTTTGAACTGCCAACATAGCTAACAGTAAGAATAACGTCTATATTCCCACCATCCATCATTACATGTCTTGGCCAAAAGGAAAAGCTGAGCATTACCAATAACAATAGAAAAATGTTAATCTTCTAACGTGTCTATTCTGGAATCTTTGGTCCTAACCAGGAATTATTTGAAGTAGTATATGATAGTCATCTCTAAGCAAAGAAGGGGAGTAACCCACCTCTTTCTGGCACTCTTCACTAATGATCCTGCTGTTATCCAGAATATCTGGAAAAACATAAAATTCCTCTTACTTGCTCCTCAGAAACCATCATTTTGTCAAGCCCAACAAGGCAAGCTAGTATGTGACTTACTGTGAGAAGAAGGACACCGCTTTCCATTATATGCAAACCTGCTCAAGGTCATGTCAAAATCAGAAATTACCTAAAATGCAAAAGGGAGATGATGCCTAGAAAGTTTCTTTCTGTGGTGGCCTGGCCTAACCCTGGGGGAGTTGGGGGAGGGATGGCCCAAGAGAAGCAGGGAAGAACTGATCCTAGTAAGTGTATGTGTTAGTGCTGAGGAGGGCCCAGTCTCTCCAGTATGGAGGGGGGCTGAAGAATCAGGATGCCTCTGACTCGGTAGCATCCGTCTCAATACCACGGAGTCCTTCCTATGGTGCCTCCACCTTTATGGCGTAGCTCTACATCTGCAACTTCTTCTTAGGGAGTGCCTGGCCTGGGCTAGTGTGGAAGATGAGGTCTCAGGTACTGCTATGAGGTGCTTTCTGTCTAACTAGAGAAGCAGTATGACCTTATTGACAAATTTGAAATCAGGTTTTAGGACAAGTGGGACTCTTCCCCCAAGCCAAAACAGGAGAACGAACCTGCTTGCCCTCAGACCCCTGGCCATTTCTAGCGGCGGAAGGCTTGCAGGTGTCAGCAACAGAGCCGGAAGACAACTGGGCAGGAAACCCCCCGCCGGCCCCCCGCACCGGCCCAACTCCCCTCCCCAACCCCCCCGCCCTCCCGCCCTCACACGCTGTACCTGCAACCGGTCTCCCCCGCCCCTGCGGAGGGCGCCCACGATCTCCTGCACCCGCCCGGGCTTCCGCATCAGGACTGTGGACTTCATCAGGGTGCTCACCTGTCCCGAGACCCGAGAGAACCGCTGACCCCGGCACCCGGCTGGGCCCAATGGGGAGCCCGGAGCTCTCTCGAGCACCCCTGCGAGGCCGCGCTGGGGTGCGCGAGCGGGCGGAGGGCTCCGGCCAGGCCTGAGGCGGCTACAGGCCGGGGTGGCGCGCTGGGGCCGAGACGGCCCGCTGGGGGCTTCGGAGCGCCCCGGGGGTCGGGGCCCGCCCCACGCCGGACGCTTCTCCCCGCCTCACCTCGTCAGCCATCGCGCTTGCGGCCTGCTCTGCGGCGCCGGGACGACCACCACCGTGGCCGGACTGCGCAGGCGTCGCCTTCAGCCCGGGCGGGCGGGTGGAGAGGGCGGGAATCAAGGAAGCAGGAGGCCTCGGGATGAGTGTTGTGATGTGCGCTAGGAAACGATGAGCATTTTATTTTGAGGAGGATGACGGTCCTAAGGAGTCAGGGTTGTGTGGGAGGGCTAGGTTGTCACGGGGTTGGGTGGGCGCCTGCTACTCTTTCTGGAACAAAATTTCTGGCAAGAGTGGCCATTTCCAGGCTTAAAGGTTGCGTTGCAGAAAACCCCCCGCAGCCTGGGAAAGGATATGAAAGAGCCATAAAGTGAATTCTGTTAAACTTCCCAAAGGTGGTTCTTTAACAGGGCCCACTCATCAGAGAAGAAAATGAGTGGCTAACACATATCCAGGGGGCAGGAAGACTCTGGACAACTGGGCCAGGATGAAACTTAAAACAACTTTTCCCTTCTGCTTCCTATGACTTGGATTTCCTTGAACTCAGCGTCTGGGGAGCCAAGTGTGGGGCCGTCCAGGCAAGATGGATGCTACAAGGATACTGGGCACAGTGTGAAGTGGGCGACGGGAACCAGAATAAAAATCTCTTATGTGATGGTGGTCACAGTTCTGCTGTGGGTGCAAGGACATGGAAGATGTTCGGTGGTCTTCAGCCTGAGTGGTGTGGTGGGGGAGGGGAGAGGAAAGAGGACAAGGACAGGGGAAGTTCCAGAACCTGAGAGCACAATCCTGAGCGTGATCTCACTGCGGGCCTAGGATTCTGGAACTTGGACTGCCGGATGGGTCCTATTTGAAAGATGTAGTAGGGAAAAGGAGCGACAGCTGGCTGAAGGGGCCCCCCACAACCCTCCCCGACACCCTTGGAGAGCAGCCTCTCTCCACTGATCCCAGGGTGCCATGGAGATGGAGAGCACGGCAGCCTCCACACGTTTCCACCAGCCTCACATGGAGAGGAAGATGAGTGCGATGACCTGTGAGATATTCAATGAGCTGAGGCTAGAGGGCAAGCTCTGCGACGTGGTCATCAAGGTCAATGGCTTTGAGTTCAATGCCCACAAGAACATCCTCTGTAGCTGCAGTTCCTACTTTAGGTATAACAGGGTTGCTGAACAAAGCCTAAGGGGGAAAGGGGCTCATTTTGAGACAGACATTTTGATTCATTTTGTTTTTCATCCCACCATCTTAAGTTCAGGGACGCTATCAAAGCTCTGGGGTCCTTTGACTTCTGAAGAGGCATAACTAGTGCTAAAGCCTCTTCTCTCTGATTCTCAACTGGATTTCAGCCACCTATTGGCGGTCCTTTTCTCTTTAATTTCCACCCAAACATGTACTGCTTGGGGGAAGGTTGGACACCTGTACTAGATTTCCTACTGAAACTTGGACGAATTTGCTACTTTAGCCACCCCTTATGCCCCTATCCCAGGAGAAACTATTTCAAAAAGGGTGATAAATTAACAAGGATTGGAGGATAAGAAGGGAGATGCGGGGAAACAATCAAGGAAATATTTATCAGAAGAAAAAGGGAGTTTTGATCAAAATAATTGTAACTCGGTAAATGGAAGCGCTGTTTTATTCACGAGCTGAAAATATTTGGGTAGTCAGTTCCAATGAAGATACGATAAATGTGTAATACTTGTTGCTAAAAATTTTCATACATCTCGACTCCGGAGCAGTCTGTAAAAGGGCCAGATAGTCAATCTTTTCAGCTTTGCAGGCCATAAGGTCTCTGTTGCAACTACTCACCTCAACCTTTGTAGTGCCAAAGCAGATGTTGTTGTTAGTTACATAGAGTCCATCCCGAATCACAGCAACTCCACGTGACAGAGCATAACTGACCCATAGGGTTTCCTAGGCTGTAATCTTTTTCTTTTTTTTTTTCAAATTGTTGTGCTTTAAGTGAAAGTTTACAATTCAAGTTAGTTTCTCATACAAAAATTTATACATACATTGTTATGTGACCCTAGTTGCTCTCCCTATACTGTGACAGCACATTTCTCCCCTCCCTTCCACCCCGGATTTCCTATATCCATTCAACCAGCTCCTGACCCTCTCTGCCTTCTCATCTCACCTGAGGACGGGAACTGCCCATTTAGTCTCATGTATCTACTTGAGCTAAGAAGCACACTCTTCACAAGTATCATTTTATGTCCCATAGTCCAGTCTAATCTTTGTCTGAAGAGCTGGCCTCAGGAATGGTTTTAGTTTTGGGCTAACAGAGAGTCTGGGGGCCATGTCTTCCAGGGTCCCTCCAGTCTC